ATAGCTAATCAACTAGAGTAGGTGGGGGGCAGCATAGGACAGTTGGCTTAGGGGAGCAGAAGGTATCATTCCAGGCCCTAGCTAGAAATGTTGGGAGGTGGGATACATCCCCTACATGCTGCTCATTGGCAGAATGAGGATCACAGCCCAAACTCCACCCAAGTCCCCTGTGTGGCTGCAATACATCAGTTTCACTTCTACTTTGCAATGAAAATCCTAATGCTTGCCATACACATTTACAAAGGAGTGTGGGGCCCGAGGGGCTGAGTGGAAATGCTTGGGAGCCAGTTAAAGGTGCTCAAATGTCACTGATGTGGTATTATATTTTAGTTTTGCTTGGAGTGTATCGTAAACGTTTTTTTTTTGTTTTTTTTGTTTCTAGAGTTCTGCTTCGTGAAGGTAATGCTACAATCCCTACCCTGGCAGAGAGACTGACAGTGGAACTGGTGGAGCATATTGAGGTAAGTCATTTGTGACAGTATCTCTCTCAGCTGATTACATTGGCATTGCGAAATGCTAGTTGCCAGAATATCTTCTGGCCTCAGCACTTGAAATCACGAACCAAACATGCAGCTAGTGCAATCAGAGGTACTAGCTGCTTCTGCGCCCAGCGGGGAGGAAAGAAAGCAGGGATGCATTGCTGTATCGGCAGAAAAATGTTGTTAGTGCTCTCACTGCGACGTTCGAGTCGATATGTAACATGTGCAGCACAGTCGTTTTTCGCACGTAGGCGCTCCGATGCGTGTGTATCTGGGGGGCGGGTGACATTTTTTTTCCCTTTTTTTTTATGTTACTTTAATTTTTAAACACTTTTTTTTGTACACTAACCCTATTGGTATTACATAGGGGACTAACAAGCACCCTGTGTAATAGCAGATAGGGTGGGACAGGTCCTCTTTATGGAGGCATCAGGGGTCGTTTAGACCCCTAATGTCACCTAGAGACCCCAAACAAGCTGAGGCAGCCGAGATCTGCTTTCCCAGCTTCTTGTCCTGGCTCTGAGACGCAGAGACTGTGTACAGTGACACTGGAAGTGATGTAATGCACAGCATGTCCGGGTTCCAGTGATCGGAGTAGAGATCAGCAGCTGGAAGCGGCTGAATCTCTCTCTGATCATTGCAGGGAGACCCACCGACCCAGTGGCCGCTGCGGGGGGACCACACGGTACAAACGATCCGGCGGCTGTTCAGACACCAGATCGATTGTAAGTTACACAGCAATCACCTGCTGTTAAAAGCAGTACCAAGAGCACGGCTGCCGGAGCAGCCGCGTTCTTGTTTTAACCACTTCTGCAGGCCGCCGTCTATAGACATACTGCGACCCGAAAGTGGTTAAAGTGACATTAAAGTCAATTTTTTACCCCTCCCCCCAATGTAAATGCCAGCACTTACCTTAACTGATGTCTCTTAATCCGATCTTCTTCTTCTTTCCTGATGTTTTCATCTGTCCCTCTAGCGCTGCTGCGGGTCTCCGATCCAGCGCTGAGTCCTCTGTCCTTGCTGGCACTTCCTGTCCCACGGTGTCTGCATGCGGGTGCACGCGTCCATAGACTTACCTTGTGGCTCTCCTCGTCTCCCGGCCGAAAATCCGAACTGCGCATGCGCCCTCCCCAAGATGCTTTGCAGCCGCCCGAGCAGTTTCGGATTTTCGGACAGCGTTTTGTTTTTTCCCCCAACTTTTTGCATATATCTACTGCTTGCTAGCCTTATATATATGCAAAAAAAGCCGGAGGGTTTAATAACCCTTTAATACTCACCTGATCCCTGGTACGACCGACAAGCGCAGACTCCCATATCTCAGGCTGTCATTATATGCATACAGATTTACTATTTAAACCAGCGCAGCCCAGTGTGCAGCTTCTGAGAAGATACACTATTAGCATAGCGGGGAAGGCGGCTGCCCATTTTGCATCGCTCCCGCTACACTAATAGCGTATCTTCTCAGAAGCTGCACACTGCGCGCGCCGGTTTACATAGTAACCGGCACGTTCTGTATGCATATAATGACAGCGTGGATCAGATCAGGTGAGTATTAAAAAAAAAAATGTTTCATTTTATGTTCCCGGGACATTTAAAAATATCCCGGGAACATAAAATAATAAAACATTTAACATTTTATTTTAAAAATGTCACCTGACCTTAGCCTGGTGGTCAGTGGGGCTCCCTGGACCCTGGTTGTGGGGGTACGCAGCTGCTCCATCCCTCTGCCGCCTTTCTGCACACTCCTGGCCAGTGGTGTAGCGAGGGGGGG